GGCGTATTACTACCTTGTAATTGTCTTCCCGCAATTGCGGTTCTTTCAGCTTTGGTCGGCGTTGCAGGGGGTACATAACTCCTTTGAAGAGCTGCGGGAAGCTCATCGCGTTATCCAAATTAATGGTCTGTCACAGGCACCCTCGGTGTGACGCCTGGTGCACAGGCTCGTCCTCAATGCGATCTCTGACCAAGACACTCAAACGCCGAAACCAGAACGTCGGCGTCAAAAGCAATGGGTGTATCCACTGCCGCACAACATGAACCCCGAGCTACGTCCCAACTGTAGACTGTCACTATGTGCCACCCTGCAGGCGCGACACTTCGATCACACTAGCATTTTCATTGTGGACGTCTCGGACCCTTTCCTCTCGGGTCAATTCACAGCCGACAACACTGTGACACAGCTGAGGAGGTTGTCGTTGCTTTGGCCGTCTCGCATCCCACCTCACGCACCATCCTATCAGACTCGCACTTGGCCTGTTCCGAATATCCTCAGGGTTCCATCGACCCGCTGGCATCTCATCTACTTCAGACAGCCTCTTGGCTCTTTAACCTTCACCTTATTCGTATAGTGATGGTCTTGAATCATGTGGTTGTTTTTATTCAGGCGCAAAACTGAACACTGTGTGGGCCCATTCGAGAAACGTCCGAGTGACTTGACCCCCTAGAGGCTAATGAGAGTGCACGAGAGCTCTACCTTTTAGGGGTGAAGCTCCTTAAGGTGTCCGTCAGTCACGCGTCACGTCGTAGCCACCCGGTAGTACTCGGAATTCTTACTCGATGGCAATGCGGTGCTTATTCCGCTGGTACTCAAGAGACTATTAGGTCAATGACTTTTAGCTCTCTTGGCCGTTTCGATCAGGCCATCAATATCAAACTTAGTAAGACATAACATAATCGTATGGCGAGCATATGTGACTAGTCATAACATAAAAATCAACGCATGTGTGTCATGAATGTATTACATGCATTTCATGGTCTTGCTGCTTTTGTGGTGCTTTCGTTCACATGACATGTTAAGAAACTGGTAGGGTATAACATGATCGTATAGCGAACACAAGCGACAGATCCTAACATGAAAATCATGACATGAGTGTCATGTGACAATGTCGCTGCATGCCAAACTCATGATGCGCTCATGGCCATTTTGTTAGCTTTGCATGTAAGAAATTTGGTATTACAAGACGTGAATGTAAGACAAAGGACTGCTGAAAACATGATTATCATGAAATGCATGTCATGTAGAAACATGACTACATGTCACGCTCATGATGCGCTCACTGCTACCTTCACGTATACCAAATTCGGTATTACGTGACGTGAATGGATGAAGAAGGCATCAGATTCGTGCAAACATGAGATGCGGGTTATGTAACTTTATGACTAAACGTAACTCACGATGCACTCACGGCCATTTCGCTAGCTTCAAATGTACCAAATCAGGTAACACGTGACCCGAACGGATGACACAGGTAAATGACACATCCAAACATAATAATCACGACATGCGTGTCATGCAACAACGTGACTACATTCTGCACTCATGATGCGCTCGCGGCCGTTTCGCTAGCTCCATACATGCCTAATTTGGTATTACGTGACGTCAATAAATGGCGAAAGTATGTGACTGGTGTGAACATGATAATCATGAGATGCGTGTCTTGTGAGAACAGGACTACCAGCCACAGTCGAGGCGCCAATACACTTTGACGTGACCGGGCACGCATGCGCGCCGGCGTTCGTATCGTCGCGTCAAGCCGGCGTTGACAAACCAGGTGCCGGTTCTGCCATATACTCGCAGGCGTGTGCCGCACTGCGCTGCTTTGACGCATGCGCGTTTGAGCGCGTCCGGTATCCCTCTGTCACAAAGAGAAGCAGACGCCGTGCTTTCTGGGTAACGTCATCGGCGCCAAATAAGACATGTCGAATTTCGCGCCGGTTACCGTCGGGCGACGCCTACGGACGCTAGTCGCACCAGTTGCACCTGGCGTCAGGAGTGCTCGCGTTTTGCTAACGTAGCGTCGCTGTGCCCAGCGTGCGCGCGCGTCAACGTTACGTTGTAGTATATTGGGCCTTTCATGATGCACCCGCGGCCGTTTTGATAGCTCCCGATATACCGAATATGGTGTTACGTGATGTCAACAGACGACGAAATATACGAATGGTGCAGACCTCGTAATTCTGACACGCGTGTCGTGTAAGAACATGTCAAAACACCACGCTTATGGCGTGCTCGCGGGCGTTTCGCTAGCTCCACATATACTTATTTGGTGCCACGTTATGTCACTAGATGACGAAGGTAAACAACACATTCAAACATGATAATCATGACACGGAAGTCGTGTACGGCCTCATTTGCCTTCCCCTCGTAACGTGGTGCTGATTTTAAATTAAAACATCAACGTTTTTGCAATCTTGCTGCGCATATAATCGATTCGCACTTTGCGTGGGATCTACCATTTTTTTAATAAAATGCTCTATCTTGAAGACAATGACACCTGACCGCATTTATGCTTCCGGAGCTATTGCTCTGTTGATTATGTGGTAATAAACGACTTCAAGCAGAGCTTAGGACAAAAGAAGTGATGTTGTACCGAGTTCCTGGTCATTCGAACTAACTGAGGTCCTTAAGCTACACCAGCAGAAGGATAATTATATGTTTTGTAGAGTCTCAACTTTTTCTTGTTGCTATGGTTTCATTACAGAATAAATTGAACGCAAAGATTATTGCACTGCCTATTTTGTCACTTGCTTTTTCGCTCTGACATGGAGCCGGACGTTACGAAAATAGGTGCTTATAGTGCTCTCTCATAGCAGAGTACCAAGTACTCTATATAGTTCACCAGTTTTTTTTTTAAATACACATTTGCTCGTCTGACTCTTAGATGCTATGAATTTCTCAGACCACCCGTCGTGAACTAGTTCATGGCATAATTTTTGTCAACACGGCCTCATCAAGTTTGAAGACCACGGGACGGCTTTGAGGTCTCCCTAAGTAGAGTACCTAGTACTCTAAATCATTAATTACTTTTTCTAAACGAGTAACATAGTAAACGTATGGTTCAGAGAGCAGCCGTGTAGGGACAGCTGCTTACAGCTCTCACATAGTACAGTACCGAATACTGTAAATCATTTACTATTTCTGCTATACACATTGTTGTCATGAGTTTGAAACGCCCCACAATAGAATAAATAAGTTTTTGTAAATATTCTTAGCACTTAAAATATGAAACATTTGTTTTGTAATTGCAGTTACATTCGTTGCTTACAGACTTCTTACCAACCCCAGGCCAGTCTTTTTACTGCAGAGCATATGGCACTCAACATCAGGAAAAACATTTTTATTGACACAATCTCCGTGAATTCTCGGTACACACGAATTGACATTGGGAAGAGGTTTTTTATGAGAGCGTACACGGCGCGCAAGATCAATCGCATTATTTTTCCAAACACCATATTGGAAGCGCCCTTGTTCCACTGAAGCTCAAAACTGCAGTGTTTTGTTTTCACATACGCTTCAAAGTACACCCTGCTAATCCCGGAGTAGATAGTGCTTATAGTACTCAGCACATTCATCGTACTTAAAACGTTGATTCGTTCACTCCTCTCGCTGCTGATGGGTCAGAAAGCGAACGATGGTTCTCATGCTCTACCATGGATTCCACGAAGATAACGCCACGTACGGCGCTTTCGCAATGCGGGTAGTCCACCGGCAAGTTTAAAAAGTGGCAGCCTCCGCCGCACTGCCTGGTGAGAGTAGTTGTTTGGCTGCCACGAAAGATAGACGCTGTTTACAGCGCTCGCTGAATGCAGCTCGGCCAAATTGCGGTTGTCACCTCACTTTTCTTTGTCCGTGGGCTGACCTTTCCATATGAGTCGCAGTTTAAAATAGTGATTGTTGTTTTGTTGCGACTTGAAGCCTCCGTCGCCTTTGCTTTGACAACCAACTGGAGGCAGCAAGCCCAATTTCCCCACGTTGGGCAGTAAGCAAGTATTTGGATGCAACATTCAGGGGCCATTGGCTTCCATTATTGTAAAAAAAAATATGCACATAACGCTGGGCATTCGTAAACGACGTGAAATTTCTGACTAAGAAAAGATATTGGGCTGAATCGGCGCCCTTCTTAAGATAACTGAATGAAAAGACGGCTTGCCCCCTTCCCCTTCTTCCACGTGAGCGTTAACTTCTTACTTTAAGTGTTCGTAAAAAAAATTTTTTGTCCCATATGCTTCTGTTTAAACGTGAAAGGCATACAATAGTAATGCCGGCATCTGTACGCACTAAATGGGCCAATGCGCGTTGTTAACTTCCTAAAGCTGAGAACCTTCAGCCGGATAGAACTCAAGAAGTTCGGAGACGCTCCACCGAGATTACCAAACTACAGCAGTTGATAGCCTTTGCTACTAACGAAACAGTCAATCTCATGCACGTGTAGCACTGATATTCAACGGCAGGATCACTAGCCGTTAGGTTGATGACGTCAGTCAGGAGGGCGCATCTATTGGTGCAGGATTGTGTGCATCCACCTTTGACGAATAAATGCCGCAAACTTCTAAAGAGTTATCTGTTTGTAGTTCTAGTCACATTTAAATTCACTGCCTGAAATCACACCCTGGTTGGTAATAAAGAGTAGCTGCGCACACAGTGAAAGCATTAGAACACAACTGCTCTTCGTTTTGCAAGGGTGTGAAATTCGCTATGTAATAGAATGCAACATCACAGAGGAATGGCAACGATATGAAAACACGCATTAGGATAGCTTCATACTCACATGAAATTTGACAACTTGGTGTTCCTTTCACCGTCCACTGATCGAACGTCTCTCCATTGCACTACATATTCACTAGCATGCGGCATCCGTAGCCGGAATTAGTCTCCGAGCTTGTGGCCGCGAAAGTTCAGGTGATAACGATCGCACTAACCATCGCTGTGGACAGCGGCAACAGCAATGTGCATCGTGGGACAAAAAGCATATGAGGACATAATAACAGAGTTACCGGTTATTATCCTTCGCACAATGACGAAGCACACGTCCGTTTCCGCCAAATGGAAGATGCAGGCGCACATGGTGAGCAGGAAGTGAGGCGAGCCTAGCAGGCACTTGGCCATTCGCATCCGCTCAGGTGACGCCAGGTAGCGGCCCTGTGGAACGAGCGATCGTACAAGAGTATCAATGTTAGCTTGCAAGGAAAATGCGTTTTCGATTTTAGGGGTGGCGCAGTGATATGCAACGACCCGCGTAGCACTGATCTGCGGAAAATACGTCACACACCGGCTAGCCATGGTTTTTAGAATGGTAAATGTTCTTAAATTTGCTATTTTGTTAACAAGTCTAGTCAGCACTGCTGCGCTCAGACCCATTTCGAGCCTTTTTCTTCCAATTCCTCTTTGCGACCACCCACAGGGCATTGGCTTCTGAAACGCATTACGGACTAGTTTTTTGATGCTGTCACCCTTATAACACCAACATTGAAGACAACGCTTCAACAGCTTTCATCACAACAGCATAAATAGAGGGATGGTTTCTTTATTTTAGGGGCGAAGCTCCATAGGGCGTGGGCTGTGCGTCCCCTGTAGCCTGCATGTAGCCACCTCTAGTTTAGTTCTTGCAGTGTTCACTAGATGGCGGTACCGTCCCCTGTATGTAGCCACCTCTAGTTTAGTTCTTGCAGTGTTCACTAGATGGCGGTACCGTCTCCTGTATGTAGCCACCTCTCGTTTAGTTCTTGTAGTGTTTACTAGATGGTGGTACTTGTAGCTGATGATGAAAAGATGCAAGATGTTATAAACTAGAAAGCGGTACTTGTAGTTGATGAAAGACGCGAGACCTTATAAAATAGTCACATATGGCGCGTGTCATTGGTTGAAGGCAATCGTTCGATTTAGTGCGGCGACGTACGCTAGGGGGAGCGTTGTAATAAAATCCGTTCGCTGTTGGCGCGCGCTCGGAGTCGCCGGATGGATAAGGCTGCACAGCGGAGAGAGCGCAAGGCGGCAGCAGCGCGCGCTCGCAAACAGAATCCCGATGTGCGAGCGCGCGAGGCAAGGGACATCGCAAGCCATCCATCGTCTAAGAACAAATAAAAGTTGATTTGTGTATATACACACGCAGCGTTTCTCACGTCTTTACATGATGATCGACTGGGCGAATTACACGGAAGATTCACAGTTTAGCGATGAATCCCTCCGGAGCTTCGCCCATTCATCATCATTCACCCCGTGAATATGCCGTAATTTTTTCTTCTGCATATATGCAGAGTGATATGTGCGCCACCAAGCGCAATGTTGCAAGTGGTCATAGCGTACTCCATGTGAATCAAACTTTTCCACTTAATAATAAGATAACTCATAAAGTGGAACAAAACAGCGTGAATTGAAGGGCTCATCTTTTCTTTGTTAGACACAATATCGTTGAAAATTAACAGACAATGATGCCAAGAGGAGAGTAGGGGATGTTCTTATAAGTATCTATAAGGTAAATATGAACAAACAAAAGTGAACGGAAAGATTACTTTCCTCCGGCAGGAATCGACCGTGTGCAGGTTAGGATCCTGCCGGTGGCAAGTTATCATTTTGCCATCTTCGCTCCCTTCATATTTTGATTACAAATACTTCTAATATTATCCCATATACATTTATTGCCACCATTGTTTGTTAATTGTCACCATTGTCTGGTAATTGTCACAAAGAGGAACCTAATAATAAAACAATCATAACACAAAGTAAAGCTATCCCAACCAGGCAGACATCTGCCGAATATTTACCTTTGGTTTTATACTTGGTGAGGTTTCCGGTAGGGCAACCTTCCTTTCGACCGTTGTGATACCAGTCTCAATTGTGAACACCGTGATGTGCCAGAAACACTTGCGTACATATTTTGCAATTTCGCAGCATACGCACGTGAATGACAAACGGTGATTTCTTCTACTGAAAGATTTGCAGAAGGTCATTACCTGATGAGACTGTGTTGGGTAGTTGGCCTGACACCAACAATGCAAATGTGGTAATAGGAGTGGTTATAGCCTTTTTAAAACCATCTGGATCATACGCGGCTATAACATTTTCTCAGCTGGAAAGCATCGTATATATTTGCCTATCTCACCATCCTCATCTATTACTATTTTCGCTCCCCTTTTCACGTTCTCACTGCAACGTAGCGTACGGCTGCCGTACCTCAAACGTCTTGACGGGTGTCCACTTCCTGATCTCAATGGTGATGACTTCGAGGCAGATTCCAAGTGCACTGAGAGCGCACCAGACAAGGTTGTGCGAATAGAAGCTGTGCCAGGTGCTGGTGAAGGTGAAGGCGACGGCCGTGCTCAGAACCAGTCTTAAGGCGGTGCGTTGGCCACCGAGCACGGGCTCGTAGACATACCTGCGGATGCAGCCAGTGCAGTAATGATGCAAGGTGCTAAATAGAAGACTATATACCTGACCTCCACAATTGGGAAGCTAAGAGAAGTGATGAGCGAATATTTCCCATTCCCCCATTTGGCAGTGCACGAAACTTGTCATGAACGCCTTGTTTTCTCTCCGAGGCTTACCTGAAGTTTCATGGCCCATATTCACCAAAGCGTTTTATGCTGAAAATTTTCGTAACAGAATTCTTCAGTCAACCTTGAGGCGGGACTTTTCATTAAGAAAGGCGGCTGATCATTGTGAAAACGTACTTACAAATTGGAAGAACTCCAATACAGTCGGTGATGCGTTTTTTTTTCTTTAATATATGCAAACTGCGCCCAGAAAATTTCCGCGAGTGTGGGCTAACGGGACGCCACTTAAGTGCAATCTAGTGGGCTTTAAACGAAATGCTCAGTAACCCGTACGATGCGCTGAGGCGTCTTGAGTTCATTTAAGCAGCTTGGAAACAATGAAGTAACGCCAAGCATAAAAAATAAGAAGAGAATGTGTGAACACTTGTTCCCATACCTTCGAATAAACAGGTGCATGCCACGGTCAAAGTATCTGAAAAAAGAAAATAAAAACAACAGTTGAAAATGCATTCGATTCTATTTCTAGCGTTGTCCAGCAGATGAAACTAGTAATAGACTCGTAGTAGTTTACCACTGGCTCAAAGCCACAAAGCGAGTTGTGGCAGTTCCAGGAAAACTTGTTAGCGGACGCAATATCCGATGCGTTCGTGATGAGCAGCTATACACCTTTTCACAGGAAGGAAACACCGCCATGATGGGCTGTGCGCGAGAGTACAAAGGCTAAGGGCGCAGCGTCGCCAGTGCATTTTCGAGGGGACGCGCTAATTTGCTCAGCCCAAGGAGGGCTATGGCGGCGCCCAGGGAGGCGTTTATGAAAAGGTGAATATGTAGCTGTATGAATAAAAAATGGTGTGTTATGCTGCATATTGGGTGTAGAACTTGGACAGCAACATGTGCGTAGATACCTTTTTTTGTAAAGTAAGCTTCTGAAAGCAAACTGTTCAATGACACCGTATTTTCTTTGTTTCAGTTGCTCATAAATTTTTTCTTGCTGGTGTGTTTTCATATTTGCGAAAACAATCTCTCTCTTTCTCTCTGTGTGTGTGTGTGTGTTTTCGCTCTGCAAAACATACGTATTTATTGTACTCTTGAGGCCATAAAAACTTGGCAATCGAGGTGATGCAAATTCAAACTTTCCACAGCAAGCGATTTAGAGCCGATCAAGACAGAATCGCATGGTTTTATGACATGTTCCCAAATTACGTGTTACGCACTGTACGATGATCCATACAACTGTTATACTACTAAAGACAGCAGTTAGCTTGAGAAATTAGCGTCTTGGTGCTCAAACACCGACGGGCAGCGTTGCCCCGCATTAGCAATGATTGAGCCATCTGCAAACAAAATCGGTCATATTCAGCCAACACAAGCCAGCGTTCGTTGCAGGATCGGCCCGCATTTCTGGTTACTACAATGATCATGCGCAGCCACAAATATACTTGGAAAAGAAAATTGAAGGATGATATCGCCATATAAAATTTGTGTGCTATCGAAATTCAAGCTGGGAATGTACTAATAGTTTAATCGACACCATGATACTTATTACTCTATAGCGGGCTAATCGAGCTCAAAGAGGCATTTTTTGTGATGTGCTTAGAACAATCAATCTACTACATTCAGGTTCTGTGGTTTCTGTGGGATGTCGAAGTTGTTTACGCCTATTCGTTCAGTAAAACAATAGGCACTCAGGTGATAAATTGAATGCAGTTCTCTTTGGTCGGTATACGGTGTACAGCCTGAGCGACATCTGAACAACTAAGACGAGGGCACCATCAACGCACCTATCTCGAAGATGTGATGTTAGCTAAAGCACGTGAAACTGAACTGTTGTCGCAACCAATAGTGTGACAACTCCTACTCCACGAAACGAATAGATGATACAACGTGTTTTAGCTCTTTTGTACATGACCAGAATTTGGGTACATCTGCGCGTAGCGCCATCTCTCGCCCGTGAAAGCAGCAGCCTGCGGTAACTGAAAGGGAAATAAGCGAAAAATTTCCGTCTGGCGAAAAAAGCTAGCTATGAAAAACGAATCCTAGTTCTATAGAGCCGAGACCTATTTGAATAGTCTGGAAAAGTTACAGTGTCGCACTACAAACTTCATGGCTTGCCAGAGTGTTGATAGTTTAACAATGGGATCTTATGGGCTTCTATGGGTGGTGTTTAATTGACCTGGGGAGCCACAGGCTTTATAGTGCGATTCTGCAATTTTGCCTAGATGTACCAGTAGGTATCTGCAACTAACAACCGGGAGTCATTTTTCATAACTAGGTTTTTTCGAGAGATGTGATTTTTCTCGTCTGTTTGTCATTCAGTCAAAACAGGCTGCCGTTTCTGCCGGCAAAAGATGGCGTCATGTTAAGATGTCCCCGATTCCTGGGAATATGCGAGCGCATATGCCAGGGTACTCTACTGGAATTCGTGAATGAGCGGTCTGCGACAACCAACGAACAGCGATCGGACGGACTCCCACCTACCGTATTCAATCGCGTAATGCTGGAACTAATTATTACCGTGTTGTAGATCTGGCAACACTGACTATAGTGATGGCTGAGTGATGACCGACGCTGCCTGGTGCCTAGAGCTCATTCTTTTTAGTGTTGGCTAAATGGTGAATAACGCCGACTGCGTACAGTGACTTGATTGATAGGCATGTATACTTTTGGCTATACGTTTTTCAATGTCGGCTGTGCGCTGTCATGATAGCCACTGGTACGCCGCAGTATTATCTTCAGTTAGTCAGATTCCATTAAGGATTTCGCGTATGCATTCGCAGAAGGCTAAATTAGTGCTGCGAGAATTTTTCTCTTTTTTTTAATGATGACAACACATATAGAGGAAAACGTTTCACTGGCATCAATGTTGAATAGATTGATGTGAGATGCTACTAGAACTGCCACTGCTGCAGTATTGGTCTCCCGTATTCCTCAGTTTTGTAGATGCAGAAATTCAGGAAAAGACGTATGCTTGAAACGATGGAACACGCTTCAAGCTTTTGTCGTAACGATGGCTCCAGGGACTCTCCGTATTCAAGAAAAGATATAGGGGAAATCGTTTATTCTCTTACTCGATTTTCTCCATTCGTGTCCTGGAACGGTGTGGGCTGTGACTATACCCCTCACACTCTCTCAGCGATCACGGGATGGCAAAGCACGTTGTTTCCGCGCTGGAGTTAGTCGAATAGCTCCGACGCGCACACGGCTCCCATGTAGCTTAGCCCCCATCCACCCAAACATACAACAAAGGGGGCGCGCAAATCGCGCTGTGTTCTGTACGAAGCCCGCCTCAATGAGCACTGCCTTTTGCCGAATACTTCGAAATTTACGAAGTTTCCTTGAATCGTCATCCCCAGTTTTTAAGAGAGAAGCTTCTTATGCAGGGGGTTGTGCATCCGCAATGTATGTAGTAGTAGTCCTCGTCATGGTAGTAGGTAGCCACCTCTCGTTTGATACTTCGAATGTCCACTGGTGGCGGTATTTCTATATGATGAACATATAGTGAAAAGATGCGAGGTAGCGGTACTTGGAGTGTTCACTAGATGGACGGACGGACAGACATACGCGCAGATGGACGAATAGAAGAATGCGCGGACGGATGATTGGGTGGAGGCATGGACTGCTGGACGTACGGATGGACGCATGGATGCTTCACCCCACTCATCATTCACTCCGTGGATAGGTGATTTTTTTTACAAATATAATGTACGTTTTTCTGAGGATCTACAGCTCGCACTTTTTTACCCGATGTAGTTAGAAAATGAATTCAGCGCGCTCACTGTAGCCAGCCGAACAGTTCACTTCACACCCACCTCCAGAACTGCGAGCACCGGTGCAATCTGGCTATGCACGGAGCTGTAGCCGGAATCTCGATGCCTTCGATCTTGGCCAGGGCTGCGGGGAATCCGTAGTTGAACAGGTAGCACACGTAGTAGTTGAATTCAAGGGAGAGGGCGTAGCCCAGCAGGCTGGCGTAGTCCAGCCTTTCGCCCATAAAATCCCACTCGGCCATAGCTGAACTGTGGGTACATATATAAGGCTTGTTTCAGCTGCTTTAGAAAAATAACACACACACACACACACACACACACACACACACACACACACACACACACACACACACACACACACACACACATATATATATATATATATATATATATATATATATATATATATATATATATATATAATATAGGTACACACTGAGAACAATTCTGCCCACTCTAAGACAAAAAAAGCCGCAAAACTTAACAGAGGGCAGTTATTATAAATGAAATGATTGATGATTGCACGTTGCCTAGGAAGCGTTACAACATTTATTTAACGATTTCTCGCTACATTTACTATTTAAATGGCGAAGACAAACTATAGTATTAATCGAAACTAGTTGGTTCATATCTAGCACTAGTTCGAGAAGCGCAACTGGATATAGGAGACAAAAATAAAACAGGCGGCAGTGACATACTTGTCTGTCCTCCCGTTGTCCTTCTTTTGAAGTACCGTGACTGGAATCAGTGTTAATTGGGCATTAATCATTAATTGCCAAGCTTTCCAAATGGGTAATTATCTCCTCAAAAAATAAAGTACATCGACGCATCTCAACAAAAATTCAAACTTTTGTACTGACGATTTCAGATGCGAAGCAACTTACGGTGGAGTTCAAGGAGTTCAATTCGTTGTGCATGCCCACTTTTACTGCGCGTGCGCAATAGCTGCCCAAGGCACTGCCAGAACGTGCTCACGCACTAGCGCGTTCTAGCCTGTGTAAAGATCTTGGTGAGAGACTGTGGCCTCTGCTTTCTACTCTACATATACTTCCACTTTCTCAGCAGCAATGTGATGGCATCGGAGAACAATATTCTGCCGACGCGCGACGAAACAATGCGTTGTATTCTAATCAGAACACGCTGGCACGCGATAGCACGTTGGGTACTGTGTAAGTGGCTGTGTAAGAGTCGAGGTGCGCAAAAAGGGTGTGCGTTCTCCTCTTCGTGCTGCATCGCATCGCCTCACGATCCCTTTCTACGAGAGACTTCATCTATTCAATACAAAGCGATTAAGCAATATTTTTTAAATCGGACGCACGTTATCGCCCCTTGGGCACCGTATGTGCTTTGTTCAAGTGTGTGCAAAGTTATACTTAATCATTAGATAATTAAAGGCTTTGGCGCCGGAGGAGACCTTCCCACCTGTAACAATACTGGGTGGCCAGTTTTACACGCGTAGTATATATGATTCTATAGGTGTGCTCAGATTTGGGTGCACGTTAAAGAACCCCAGGTGGTCGAAATTTCCGGAGCCCTCCACTACGGCGTCTCTCATAATCATATGGTGGTTTTGGGACGTTGAACCGCACATATCAATCAATCAATATATGATTCTATTTCAGAACTGGGTGACAGTTATCTAAAACCGCAACTGCACCAAAACAGATAGTTCTTCAATTTTCCAGTTTTTTTTTGTAGCCACAAAAATTGCGATGCCTGGAGGTTAAAATATACATAACAGACCGTAGCATAAAATGATGCGTGAAGAGAGATGTTTGCGTCTTTCGTAGAAGTCCACCACATTCATCGTAATGCTAACGTGCCATGTATCAGTACTTTGAAATCACTCAGCGGTAGCTGGATAAAGCCTGAATAGCAGGACATATTTGTTTTTTTGTTTTGTTGATAATGATTAGAAGGAAGTAGTTTTGTAATTGCAGAATGTTCACGGAGAGTTCGACTGTGTTTCCTCCCAAACAGTACAACAAAAATTAATATAGACAGATAAGCAAGGAGTGGCACATAAAACACAGTCACTAATGTAATAAAAGCAACTTGCTGGTGTTTACTACTAATAACAAGTATTTTTTCCGCTAATGTGTGCTCCATAATCATATGATAGTTTTGGCACGTAAGCCTCCAAGATTAGTAATTCCGCAGTATAATGGTCAAAAACAGGCAAGTGAGCTCCTAGACAAAACTTTTTTGAACGAAGAGATTCCATGAATAAAGAAGACAAACCTGTAGAAGAAGTGGGCCATGATTTCCATCAGGAGAAAGTGGCCACCGCTCCGCAGAATCCTAGCCATGGCGATGGCGATCTCGCGTGGTGTACAGCTTGGCTTCGGCTTCTCCGACTGGGTATATGCGCATGGACGTTTCGTAAAGAAAGTATATGTCATTCTTTTATGCGCATGACGGCGCGAAAAAAAGTTTGAAACTCTACAATGCGCGAGGCTGAGGTTTTTGCCACTGTTGTGTGAATTGTCATAACCGAGTGAATGGTATTTGTAGGTTGATAAGTAAGGAATAATTTACTACCAGATAAATCCTCTACAATACGACATTGGGTTACTCACAAAAAGATTTTGGTAAAGAATGCACTCATCGTAACCAGTGCGACAACCTACGCTTTGTATATCGCTTCTATAAACTTTAGTGTTGAGGGAAGAAAAAACACCTACAAAGGTGTGAGCCATGTGCTGATTACTATCGAGAAACAGTGCGCGCACGCAAGCCTCTCGAGCCCCGCAGCAACTCCCTGATTTTCGTTATTTCCCGTAGGCATTTCGTCTGATGGAAGATGAACGGTGTGTTTTCTGCCCGCTTGAGCTGCAATCGTAGGCTGTCCTCGCATGGTGTCATTCCCACGTAGAACGCAGGCGGCACAGGGCATTGTTATCGCCCCTTGGCTTAACACGGGACCTCACTCTGACGCTGACGGCGGCAGCGAAAATGCACCTGATGTGTTCATAAAACTATTATCATAATAAAAAAATGAAAATTGCGTTAACTAACGCTTAAGAGAACCCAGGCGATAACCCATGCTGTCACACTAATTAAAAATAGCATTTCATATCACTGTAGGTCACTATGGGCCAGACGCCACATTCTTTGAGCGTATCTGTATACTTTGAGCGTATCTATCTATCTATCTATCTATCTATCTATCTATCTATCTATCTATCTATCTATCTATCTATCTATATCTATCTATCTATCTATCTATCTATCTATCTATCTATCTATCTATCTATCTATCTATCTATCTATCTATCTATCTATCTATCTATCTATCTATCTATCTATCTATCTATCTATCTATCTATCTATCTATCTATCTATCTATCTATCTATCTATCTAGCCGTCTACGACGTTTAGCTGTCCTGACCGCTTCGATGATGGTATGAATACCAAACTTGGTATAGCATAACATGACTGTATGGAGAGCATATTTCATCATCATCATCAATATCATCATCATCATCATCAGCCTGACTACGTTCACTGCAGAAAAAAGGATTCTCCCATGTTCCACCAGTCAACTCGGTCCTGTGCTTGCTGCTGCCAATTTATACCCGCAAAATTCTTAATCTCATCTGCCCACCTAACCTTCTGTCTCCCCCTAACCCGTTGGCCTTCTGTGGCAATCCAGACAGTTACCCTGAATGACCAGCGGTTATCCTGTCTACGCGCTACCTGCCCGGCCTATGTCCAATTCTTCTTCTTGATTTCAACTATGATATTCTTAACCCCCGTTTGTTCCCTAATCCACTCTGCTCTCTTCTTGTCTCTTAAAGTTGCACCTACCATTTTTTCTTTCATTGCTCGCTGCGTTGTCCTGAACTTAAGCTGAACATTCTTTGTAAGTCTCCAGGTTTCTGCTCAATAGCTAAGTACCGGCAAGATGTTGCTGTTATATACCTTCCTCTTGAGGGATAGTGGCAATCTACCTGTCATGATTTGAGAGTGCTTGCCAAATGTGCTCCACCCCATGCTAATTCTTCTAGTTACTTCAATCTCGTGTTTCGGCTCCGCGGTTATTTCCTGCAATAAGTAGATATAGTCTTTTGCAACTTGAAGTGCACTATTACCTATCTCGAAGTGCTGATCTCTTCCGAGGTTGTTGTACATTACTTTCGTTTTCTGCAGATTAATTTTAAAACCCACTTTTCTGTTCTCCTCGTCTAACTCTAAATTCATGAGTTGCAATTAGTCCCCTGAGTTACTCAGCAATGCAATGTCATTGCCGAAGCGCAGGTTACTAAGGTACTCTCCATAAACTCATATCCCTAACTGTTCCCATTCTAGGCCTCTGAAAAGCTCCCGCAAGTACGCGGTAAATAGCAATGGGGAGATTGTATCCTCCTGCTTTACACCCTTCTTGATTGGTATTCTGTTGCTTTCTTTATGAAGCACTATGGTAGTAGTTGATCCCCTGTAAATTTATTCCAGAATGTTTATAAATGCTTCGTCGATGCTTCGATTCCGCAGTGTCTGCATGACGGCTGATATTTCTACTGAGTCAAACGCCTTCTCGTAATCTATGAAGGCCATGTATAGTGGTTCTCTATATTCTATGCATTTCTATATTACTTTATTGATAATATGAATGCGGTTGATTGTTGGGTAGCCTGTTCGAAATCCTGCTTGTTCCTTTTGGTTGAATGAATTCTAATGTTGTCTTAATTCTGTTAGCAATTACCTTTAAACCCCAGGTGGTCTAAATTTCTGGAGCCCTCCACTACGGCGTCTCTCATAATCATAGAGTGGTTTTGCGACGTTAAACCCCACATATCAGTCAATCATAACATTGTGCTCATTTTAAAGTGACATATCAACCTTTATTATTCGTGCTTCGCATATCATCAATTCCCAGTGTACGTGGGATCTGCCTGTTTTTTTGCTTTTTTTTGCTGATGAGCCATGTAAGATTCACACTATAGTAAACCTTTGTGTTATGGGCTGAAACGTCTAACGGATAAAAACCTTGCAAGCTTCTCCATGCTGATGCTCCATATACGTCTTCTCTGCTTTACTCATTTCGCACACGCAACAATAGTCTTTTCAGTAATCTAAGGTAGACGCAGACAGTGACAAGAAGATGTGTTGAATTGGCCTACCTGAGCCGTAAAGTCGTTGTACTTCTGCGGCGGCCCAAGGTAAACCATCGGCATGTACAACATGTATCCCAGCGTCTTCCAGTAGGGTGGCCATCTGCGCCTGTGGTCCCCGGTGTTCTTCCCCTGCTCGGATTGAACGCAGTCCACACTGAAGCTGAGGCCGCGCAGGATGTTCCAGTGGAAGGTGACGAACGCACTCCTGTAGGCCATCAGGCCGTACCTGGGATACATATACTGGAAAAACAATGCAGCCTGCGTTGGCACTGTTTATCGTAGCAATCATACCTAAACATCTATTGATGTTTATCTCTTGGCAGCCTAGTTAGCATGAGATAGATATGCCTGGCCTGGTTTTGCAAGGACTATGTAAATATTGTTTCATTGAAGCAAGGCTTCTCATGGTTTCTTTTATTGCTGAGAGATGGTAGTGGTCGGTGCAGCTTCGACCTGAGCACACTGCGGCACTTCCACTCAACAGGTCATGACGTTAAGTGACGTCCGGCCTGCTTTGCATATTCCCTGGCTGTTCCCGCTCAGGTGAGTCATGGTTGTGGCGATGTGATGAACAACCTTGGGAGACATGGCGTGATATATAGTATCTTTTTGAAAAAAATGTCGCTGGTTTTACCAAGTAGTGTGAAGTTCAGGAACAAATTAATTACTTCCTTTAGAATTTTTTCAAAGGAGGTGCTTTTAAATGAGGACCCACAAAACAAGCAAGCAATCAAACAGATAGACGCAAAGAGAAAGGAAGGATCAAACTAACAAAAAACTAGAAACAAGTAAAAGCGTTGAAATTCAAACATAAGAAGAAATGAGAGATCTAAATTACCTGCGGGAGACGAAAGAAATAAAGAAACGTTTGAACGTATTTTCCAGTGGTTATATCAAGGGGCCCTGCAACGCTTTCTGAGCATGGTCAGAAAACACTGCCGATCACTAGTAGAGGCTCCGAAAGCACGCAAGCCAAATATTATAGCGCAGCACGTGGGCTAGAATTTGCACTAAATAATTATACTCACCTAAAGTCGCTTTTTATTTTCTCGAATAAAAACAGAACACGCTCAAAAGCCACGCGTAGATAGCCATCTATCAGCGATTGGCTGATTTGAATATGGCGCGCTTGGGCCTTACAGGGATCACTGCGAGAGGCTGCGACTTGTCCACGCGCACGCATGCGATCACACGAAAAAAAATCCTCGTATTTGAAGAAAAAAAAGAATAAAAAAAATTCCTCAAGGTCGTGAGCCGTGCGTGATGCTTTTTTTGCCCCTGCTATCTCTTCCTGCTTAACCTCCAGTGCTATCGCAGGGACGAGAGAAGAGAAAACGCGATTGCAGCGTGTGACAGGTCTTAGTAACTTCAATCGTACAGAACGATTATTGAAATTTTTGCGGCGTTGAATTCATAAGGCAATAGGCTTTTTAGTGAATACATTTCATGCTTACTAAAACGTGTTTCATGGCCCTTTTGGCATCACGCCGTCATACCGACAATCATCAGTGTCACGATCATCAGTGTGAAATGCTGAAATTACTGTTTAATTGTTCATACGGTGTCATTCGATGTGACATTGCTTTTGTTTCCCAGTTCATTATTGGAAACTAATTTTTGAGTGAATGGAGCTTCATGAACTTTGCTGTAAAAATATGTATTTTGCCCTCTAGGCTACTGAAACCTGCTGTGTACGTGATGCTCTGGCTTTATTAACTTAGACATGCGGATATATTGGGAACTCTGTTCACATTCGTGCGCCAATATAAGGCGTGTTTCCTTTTCTAGTGATTGTAAATGCGTAGTCCATCGAATAATGATCACGTGATATTTTCTGTCAGTATTTTATCATTAGGGTGCTGTCTCAACAGTGTTTCTGCATCAGCCAAACTGCGTTTCTTGTGGGTGGTAATGAACATCGGCAAGTATGCTCATCCTACTCAAGTCGACAAGAATGGTGTAAGGCTAGGCAGCAAAATAGACAGCTTAGAGATCTATATCCCAACTCACGTTGAATGGGTCAAACGGTATAAAGAACTTCTGGCAGTGGATCACGAGGGCGACCACGTAGCACAGTGCTGTGCTCCCCAGCGAGGCCGTGAGGTAGAAGGCGGCGTGTTGCGCCAGGAACAGCAGCGCCACCTCCCAGCCGAAGGTGAAGGCCACGAACAGCGAGGAGTATACAGCGTAGAAGACTGGCACCAGCTGCAAGTAGATTAACAGTGATGGTGTTCGTGGCAGACGAAGAAAGCTTTTATATAACTGTCGAGAAAGGTGAAGGACAAACATCGATTTTAAGCACTAGTGATCTTACATGTACAGTAATTGACAATCAAAATAGCAATAAGTTTTCTCTAGCCGAAAAAAGGCTCACTGTCTCTCCGCAAGAGAGAAGAACTTACTGAATATGACCACCGTAGGCGTGCGCACGAGGGTGTCGAGGCAGGGAAGCTTCCCCTTCACCCGGTCAACAAGGAGAGGAGAGAACCCCTACTCCCTAGGAAACAACAATAAGGCACAAAATTATGGTCGCCTAGGTTTTTGCTGATAACATTGGCTGAAGGCTGCTGATGTTACGTTCGATGATCTGTTTACAAGCAGTTATTACTCCTGTAACGGGGTTTATTTGCAGAGCAGAACGCAGAAAGCGAAGCAGTCAGCAGCGTCCGGCCAAGCGCAGCAAGCACGAGCTTATGCTTATAGCGATGCCCCTGAGGCGCCGAGAAATGCCGCTGAAGCTCCTCTTCTTCACTACAAACGCCCTCCGCACAAAAAGACGTCATCCTGGCGGATTAGGGAGAAGAAACGACTAATGTGTCATAATATGGCTTGAGACGAGAGACGTGGACAGTGTCGCGGCCGCGGTAGCGTAGGTCTGTGGATGGGATGATGGGCTCCACGATATAGTTGACGAGTGACGTTTGCTCTACAACGCGGTATGGCCCCATGTATTTGGGAAGAAGTATTGCGGAGCGGCCAGGTGCGGTAGCAGGAGCCCGAAGCCATACCAATGAACCAGCTGGAAAGTTTGGAGCCGAACGGTCCCCAGTCTGGCGGGACTGCTGCTGCCACTGGTCCTCGGTAGAAAAAGAGCGGCCAAGCTGGCGGCATCCTTCAGCATGTGGGGCAGCTTCGGACAGAGTTGTACTTTCGGACTCATAAGGTTTATATGGAAGAATAGTGTCTACTGTATTTGAAGGTTCTCGTCCGTACAGAAGAAAGTATGGCAAAAACCCAGTAGTAGCTTGTACAGCAGTATTATACGCGTAGGTGACGAACGGGAGAACTTGGTCCCAATTTGAATGATCAGAGGCGACGTACATCGACGGCATATTGCCAAGAGTACGGTTGAAGCGCTCCGTCATGCCATTTGTTTGAGGGTGGTGCGCTGTACTTGTGCGGTGCACGATTCGGCATTCGTTGAGTAATGCCTTCAAGGCGTCAGAAAGGAAGGCACGGCCTCTGTCACTTAAGAGCTCTCGAGGGGCACCATGACGCAGAATGAAACGTTGCAACTGAAACGTTCCAACGTCACGGGCTGTGGCAGTCGACAGCGCGGCTGTTTCGGCATAGCGTGTCAGATGGTTTATCGCAACAATAATCCAACGATTACCAGCTAGAGTTGATGGTAGTGCTCCGTAAACGTCAATGCCGACGCGATCAAAAGGTCGACTAGGACAAGGAAGAGGTTGTGACGGGTAGACTTGCCCGGGAAGTAACTTTTGTCGTTGGCACTGAGCACACGAGTGAATAAATTTTCGCACGTAGTTGTACATTCCATGCCAATAGAATCTGAGTCGAAGCCTAGCGTATGTCTTAAAGAGGCCTGCGTGGGCGCACTGTGGGTCCACGTGAAAAGCTTCGCAGATAGCAGCTCGAAGATGGCGGGGTATCACAAGGAGACACTTGCGACCGTCAGAAAGGTAGTTGCGTAGATAAAGAAGATCATCCCTTAGGAAAAAGTTGCTAGCCTGGCGGCGGAGAGCGCGAGACGGCGAACGAGTGAGAGGATCAGAAAGAATGCTTATGAGGCCACTGATCCAGGGATCCTTTCGTTGTTCCACCGTCATGTTGCGCAGGGCGGATGACGCAAGTGCAGGCTCGAGGGAAGAGAGGCAAATACCTTCATCCGATATGGGTGAGCGAGAAAGGGCGTCGGCGTACGTGTGCTTACGACCGGATCTGTAAATAACGCGGATGTCGTATTCCTGAAGTTTGAGCACCCAGTGAGCAAGTCGTCCGGAAGGGTCTTTAAGTGTGGATAGCCAACAAAGGGCGTGGTGGTCAGTGACGACGTCGAATGCGTGACCATACAGGTAGGGGCGAAATTTTCCAAGGGCCCAAATAATAGCTAAACACTCTTTCTCGGTTGCGGAGTAGTTAGCCTCGGCTTTCGTCAAAGTTCGGCTTGCGTAGGCGACGACTCTTTCATCAAACCCCGTCTTTCATTGCGCCAGCACAGCGCCAAGTCCAACACCGCTGGCATCAGTATGAACCTCCGTGGGAGCGGCAGGATCGTAGTGGCGGAGGATGGGTGGTGAAGTCGGCAGGTGGCGTAATTTGGTGAATGCATCGTCGCATGCTGGTGACCAGGTGGAAAGGTCCTTGTCACCGCTAAGAAGGTCCGTAAGGAACGCACGTACGGAAGCAAAATTTCTAATAAAGCGTCGGAAGTATGATGGCAAGCTGACAAAACTTTTAAGTTCCTTCAAGTTCTTCGGCTTCGGAAAATCGGCGACTGCTCGAAGCTTGGCGGGGTCGGGAAGTATGCCATCCCGCGATACGACGAGGCCAAGAATGGTGAGCTGCCGGGCACCAAAACGACACTTCTTGAGTTTGAGTTGAAGGCCGGCGTCGGTGAGACGTGTGAGGACGTGCTCGAGACGATTTATATGGGTGTCGAAATTAGTGGAAAAGACAACTACGTCATCGAGGTAGCGTAAACATGTGTTCCATTTGAGGCCTCGTAAAATAGTGTCCATCATTCTTTCAAAACTGGCTGGAGCATTACAAAGGCCGAAAGGCATAACGGTAAATTCGTATAATCCATCAGGTGTGACAAATGCTGTTTTCGGTCGGTCAGATGCTTCCATAGATACTTGCCAATATACAGACCGTAAATCCAGCGAAGAGAAGTATTCTGCTCCCTGCAAACAGTCAAGGGCGCCATCTATTCGCGGTAACAGGTAAACGTCCTTACGGGTGATCTTGTTTAAACGTCGATAGTTCACACAGAACCGAATGGAGCCGTCCTTCTTCTTAACAAGAACGACCGGTGACGCCCAGAGAGCGTTAGAAGGCTGTAAAATACCCCGCTGGACCATGTCAGCAACCTGGTCGTCAATAACCCGGCGCTCCGACGCTGAGACTCGGTAGGGGCGCTGCCGTATAGGCGTATGGCTTCCTGTGTCAATCTTGTGAGATATACTCGATGTGTGACTGAGGCCAGAAGCGTGGCTGTCAAAAGAAGTACGAAACTTTTGCAGCAGGTTCACTAACTGGCTTCGTTCTGAAAAGACGTTGCGACATCGATGGAGCGGTGGAAAGCGTTAAGGATTGACTGGTCAACAACAGAGACAGAAATGAGTGCGCTGAGGTCCGTAGAAAGTAAACTAGATGGAGCGTCAAAAATGTGATGGGCGTCGATCGGATGTACGTGACTGAGACATTCACCATAGACTAAATGTAAAGGCCCTTCTAGCGTATTGTACACGAGCGTCTTCGTGATGCCATGGTGAAGAATAAAGAGAGCGACAAGCAGTGGAGAACATTTGCGTTGAGTGAACAGGGCAGAGGGCGTAAATAAAACATCACCGTCGGAAATAGCGTCACACGACACAGTCACCAACAGAGAAGAGCGCGGTGGTACGGTGGTGTCGTCGGAAACAAACAGTTTATAACACGCAGGGAGGCTTCGACAGCGTCAACATCAGGAAGTGCAGATAGCTCAAGTTCAGCGCGATGGCAGTCAATGACGGCATTATTATTCCCAAGAAATTCCCAGCCGAGTATCATGTCATGGGAACAGGAGGGCAGCACTACAAATTCGACGATATACACAATCCCTTCGATGACGACTCGTGTGGTACAGGCTGCGAGAGGTGTTACACTTTGTGCGTTAGCCGTTCTAAGAGAGAGGACGGATAATGGCGTCAGAACTTTGCGGAGTTTGTGGCACAGGTTGACGGAAATGACGGATAGAGCGGTTCCGGGGTCGACAAGCGCCATGACGACGATACCATCGACTGACACTTCAATGACGTTAGCTGGACAGGGGCGAGGACTTGTGCATGGCGACGGGGACGCAGTTCATGCCTCGGGAACTGCGGCCGTTAGTTTTCCTGGTCGGTGGGTCCGGAACGGCGACACATAGGGGAAAGCGAACGTCGTCGTGGAGATGGGGAGCGGCGGGTCGGGCCGTGTGGACGATCAGAAAGAAAGGAAGAGGAAGGAGGGCTTGAAGGCGTAGAAGAAAATTGAGGGTCGAAAGAGGGAATTCGGCAAATGTTCTGAGCAGCCTGGCGACGACGACGGCAATAACGTGCCACGTGGTCAACACCGCCACAAGCAAAATATATGGGACGGTTGTCGTAGGTCCGCCATTGGTCGGAGTAGACTCCGGCTCGCGGCTGGGGGGCAGTGAATAGGCGGCGGTGAATAGGTCGGCGGCGAAAAGGGTGGCGGCGAATACATAGGCGCTGGCTGGAACGCAGGCTGTCGAGGTCGAGCAACGGCGTCGGCGTACGTGAGAGGTGCGGTGACTGGGGGTGGTTCACGCGCGGGAGGAAAAACTTGTGCGACCTGGTCTTGAATGAAGTCGCGGAGTGTAGGCGTCAATCTGCGTGGTTGATCGGGCACGCTGGATATCAAAGAGAGCTGACGAGCGACCTCAGCGCGGATGAACTCTTGGATCTTGGAGAGGAGAGGGGCATGGTCTTCTCCTATGCCAAGGGTGGAAAGGCTGGACATAGAGTCGTCGAGCACCGAAGGACGTCGGGTGGAAAGACGTTGCCTGCGCAACTCGTCAAAACTCTGGCATAACTCGATCAGTTCAAGGACAGTGTGAGGACTCTTAAATAGCAACATTTGGAAAGCATCGTCCTCAATGCCCTTCATGATGTGCTTGATCTTAAGCTCTTCGGACATCGACTCGTTGACTCGCTTGCAAAGGTCCAGAACGTCCTCGATATAGCTTGTGAAATTCT